ATAAATATATAAATATAAATATTTTTTTTCCAAAATTTCAAAAGAAGACCTATATATATTATTTTAAATGCTTCAACATTTAAATGCTGTTTGCATGTTAATAATAATATAAATATATAATTGCACCAGGTCACATTCCTCGTAGGCGTAAAAACCTACTTGGCAATAAACAAAATTCTGATTCTGAATTCTGATTCTGATAATAGCACAATGAGCTAATTTTACTTTTGAAACTTTAGGTATGTTTTGCTGAAAATAATTCAATTTAATTTAAAGCCCCTACAAGGACAAAAGCAGTAGTGTTTACACTGCCTCTTTTCATTGATTTCAAGGGGAATCCAACCGAATCTCACCCAGTGGCAGGCAAAAATATTATCTACATAGAAAAATCCAATCTTCCCGCTGATAGTCCTGTTTGTTTATGTATAAAATAGAGGCATCAGTATTAAATGAGAGTGTTTCATAACCTGTTAAAACTCCCTCTAGTACATTTAAGTAAACTAAACAATTCTTATTATTTTAGTATTTTTACTTTGTGTATTACTAAATAAAGTCAAAAGTTTCCTTCAGCACTGAAGGTTTTTGAAGGGCACTGAGCATACAGCAGCAAATCAATCCTAAAGAAGATGCACTTAAATCCCTCTGAATCCCTCAGGCAGCCTGACACCTGTGCTTATATTGATGTGTTGGGTCAGTGGTGGAAATGACCAGATGTGCGAAACATTGTCTTCTTCTGTGGTAGTGTAATAACGGTAAACGGCTACGTGATTACAGTCCCTCCCCACAATCACAGAATGGCCGCAGCAGCACAATGACAGTGGCCGTCACATGCATATAAAAAAGGCAGAGACAACCACCTGCTTGGCTGGGCAGAGAGGCAATCACATGGAAAAGAGAGGACACGCACACAGGCATATACACACACAATCAACAGCCCTCTTCACTTCCCATCATTCTCAACACCAATACACACATGCAAACAATGATTTGGTTTCCATATAAAGAGGCACACTCACACATAAAGGGATCAACAAACGCCATCAAAGGTACATATACACACATGCAAGAATCAACACACAAGCCATTAACATTCCCCTTCCCCCAGTGCCACCACACACGAAAACAATACTTTTTTTTACATAAGCACACACACACACACACATGCATGGGGGAGTGTGGTTAACACCCTGAGGTGAGGCAGCCCCATCTGCATGTAATCCCATCTGTGTGACGGTGCTTTGTCCTGCTCTCCGGTTAACACCCTGAGATTGGGTCACTGCAAATCCACCTGATGCCTCTCTGTCTCACTCTCTCTCTGTATTCTATCTCCTACTTTTTCATTGCCTGCTTATCTCATTGTCCACCCTCCTATCCCTCTCCCCTCTTACTCTTTTCCCCCCCCTCCTCTCTCTCTCATTCTCTTCACGGCGGTCAGCAAGGCGCAGCGGGAGAAAATAACTAGCGGCCAGGATTACAGCCTCTAGCTGAAAGATAGAGGGATGGAGGGATGCGAGGAGCGGGGATGGATGCAGAGGACAGGGAGCGAGGGGTCGCTGATTGCATCTCTTCAGCTGTCGGAGCTGTCAATCACGTCTCCGGTGTGGCGAGTCATCACTCACCACTAGCTGGCTGGCTCAGTGTGTGTGTTTGTGCGTGTGTGTGTGTTTTCAAGTGACGTCCATCTCCTGACAGCTACTTTTCCCGGTGCTGAGCAAGACATCCCTCATCTGGAAGGAAAAGAGGGAGAGACAGGAAGCAGAAGGGACAAGAAGGATGAAGCTCACCTTCGGCTGATGACGAAAGCGCTGATGAGAATGATGAGGAGAACCACGCTGCCCACCACGGACACCAGTAACACTGTGGAGTTGGCCCCATCACCAATAATGGGAGCTGGGACTGAGGAAAAAGGAAGGAAAGATGGGGGGGGAAAAGAAAGGGGAGGTGAGCATGGGAGAGAAAAGAGAAAGGGAGGAAGGATGGACGGAGACAAAAGAGCAAAGTCAATATCACTGCGCTCGATCGAGTCGCCGCACATGAAAGAGCCTGTGTACATTCTGTTTTTGTCAAAGTCATTGAGCCCCCCTCCCACTTCCTCCCTGTGTGTTTCTGCCTATGCCACTGAGAGACAATGACGGCTCATTAGGATGTGTGCTTGACCGTGTCATTATCATGCGCTGCTGTCTCTATCTGCATTACAAAGGGGACATCTGGGCTCACAGAGCGTCTCTCAAACCCTTTATGTCATATCCTCCCATAAACAATCCATATTATATAGCGTAAGTTTATACTGGAGAGTTAAGATTCGGTTTGTTTGGCTCAATTGTTGTTGTCTAGTTTAACTTGATATAATTCATATTCCTCAGCATTCAGTTTCTCCCTATTTATTTCCCTCTAAGTAGCTTTAATGTTGTGTATATATATATATATATTGTCCAGAGCTTCTCTGTATTCATCAAATGGAAATATTTGAAACTTTGGGATCTTCACAAGAATTTCAAATTAAGTTAACAGTTTTTGGCTGCACTCCATGTAAAGACTGACCCACTGGCCGGTCAGTGGGGTTTCAGAGGCCACCCACGTAGGGGGGGTGTAACTGTTGTTATCTTAGGGTTTTATAGAGTTTTAAAGTCTGGTAGAAACACTGAATATTTTGGCTTCAGCAAAAAGAAGCAAAAAGAATCTATCAGAGCTTCCAGCTTAAAATATCAGAAACTGTATCATTCTTCAAAAACCCTTATAGATTGAACTCTAGCAGACACATCCACTGAGACTCATTGCAACTTGAATAATGGAAGCTACTCAAATTGCCCGTCAGGTGCCGGAGCACAATATCATTTATCTTTCATAGACGACAGCTATTTTGATTAATGACCCTACAATGAAAGAGACAAACTCGTAAAAGATGCTATCATTGGAAGATTTTGTAGAAATAGGGGGTAATTGAGTTGGCGTTGAGCCTCTCTGCCTCTGCACTGTACCGATGCCATCGAGGCAAGCTGAGCTGTGGCTAAACTCACCGGAGTTGGTCATGAACTCAAATGGGCCGCTGAATTCCCCATAGCCGGCCGCCGTACGAGCACGCACGTGGAACACGTAGGAAGTGAGGGGGGTGAGACCCTTGATGTCAGTGTTCCTAGAAGAGGTTTTTATGATCCTGTAGCTTCTTTCATTTTGGTCCTGAGGATGACGGATGACATTGAGACAGAAAAAGAAAGAAAGAGAAAAGAATCAGATGTGGCTTCTTACAAACTGTTGAGATTGATGGCTATTTTGGAGATTATTTCATCAGCAGGAACTACATCTCCCATTGGACCCCTCACCTTCTCATAGTACTTGACCTCATACTCCAGGATGACCCCATTGGCTCTATCTGGTGGCTGCCAGGCCAGTGAGATGGTGTGTCTTGTGATATCCTTCGCCTGGATGGAAGTCACTGGTGAGGGAGCTAGTGAAATGATCAAAGAAAGACAGAAAAAAGAAGAAAAAAACACATTTTAGCCCACTGCTTTGTCTCAGTCCTCTATGTTGTTTTTCAGCCTTGCAGACACCAAGTCTGTTTCGTGTTGCTTTCCTAAATCCCTCACACTTTGCTCCTGCTGAGAAAGTCAAACAGTGGGCCAGGCCACAAAGCAATCACTTCCATTTGTCTTTGAACTTGGCTTCCGTTCAAAATCTGAGGTGTTACAGAGCTGTATGGCCACACAGCTGAATTGCCAAAGAGAGAGTGTATGGCAATTCTCTATGTCTAAACAAATGGTTGGCATAAATAAAACTGATCCAATTTTCCTTCAGCTGATGCTAGCGTCTCAGCCACTTTTCCTACAAGCTGGCAAAATAATGTCTAACTTCATTTTCTGCAGATACCCAGGCCACCCTGGGAAACCTTGAGCTGCTGCAGAGTTACAAAGTCTGCCTCGGAAAGCTCAAAATGAGCCCAATGCCTTTGCTTTTTTTTTTTGTCTTCAAGAGAGCAAATCAATTGGTTTTCATTAAAGCTCCAGTGAACGATCTTATCTCAAGCCCTTTCTGCCGCAGCTGATAATGAGGCCATATTTCAAGCAGCCGTGCTATCTGCGTTCAGAGGCCTTTAACATGTGAAGGTTAAAGCACGATAATGGCTTACACTCGTCCCCTCCCTCCAGTATGTCGTTGCCGCACAAATCAAACCTCTATCTTCAGGGAGTGTGACAACACTAAAATTGGGTCATACACACTCTTGATGCTACAAAGAGAAACCCACAGGCGTAGGACAGATAGTGTTGTAAACAGAGAAACACTCATGTACAGACTGAGTTTTGAGCAGACTGGAAGATATAGGGTGGTGGGACAGGTGGAGGTATAGACCAAGGAACAAAAGGTTACATGGATACACACACATCTCTAGACCCTTAGGGGTTCTAGCGTCTGCAAAGTGCCTGTAGGTATCCTCACAACCAAACAACCAAACCCATCTATTCTCCACAGAGCCAGAACAAAGCACCACAAAGAAAAACAAAGAAACATTTCAATTGATGCCCAGGTAGCATTTCTGTGTAGTGTCTGCTCTTACGAGGAGTGAATCTTTGACCTCTGGCCCTCAGTGATACTGTAACCTTACTCGTTCCAGACCATCTGCCTTTTAAAAAATTACAGTGGGATGATTAATGAGGGGTTCACGGTCCACCGATTATGATTGGATTATCTATGACATTATATACATTCTCATCACTTTGACCATGGGCTCCAGGGAGCCTAGCCTTCAAGCTAACGCTAACAAAACCCTGCTTTTAGCTGCGGATTGAGTTCAAACGGGCCTGGAATTCAAGCACCAGCCACGGATTGAGTTTCAGCGGGGTGAAGAAGTGGCGGGGG